GAAGGCAGAGGGGAGAGGCTGCACCCTGGGCGGGCGGGTCTGGGGGCCTCCCGTGTTGTCCAATCCAGGCCCTGCCAGGCATCAAGTCTCAGAGCGTCTGCAGCCACACCTCCTGCCAGAGGCCCAGCTGAGCCTCCTGCAGGCAGAGTGCCTGGACCCGCCACTCCACTCGGAGAGGTAATTATGTGCAGCTGCTAGGAGGCCGGAGGAGGGGGCCGCACCTGGCCTGCTCCAGAGAGAACGCCAGTCTGGCCCAACTCCTTAATTACCTTCGGAGGCGCGACAGTTTAAATTAAATTCTGATTGTTTTCATGTTGGCTTTTGCCAAAGCCCTGAGCTAAGCATTAGTGAGGCCGAGGTGGAGGGGAGGGCGGTCGGGTGACAGGTGGCACATTCGTCTCCTTCGGCTCTTTAGCGGAAGTGTTCCGCGAGTTACAAGAATACGCCGGTAATTGGTTCCCGAGCAGAGGTGTACAGACCTGGCAAGGCCTGCGTGTCAGGTTTGCCATTTCCAGACATCCCCAACTGGGTGCTCAAATGGGGCTCCACTGAGGATTTGTAAGGCAGACACACACTCACACCTGCTGTCACTCGGTGTTAAATATAACACTACAGCTTTAAATCATTTCTGTTCTCTGCCCCCACCTCTGCCTTTTGTATCATCCCCTCAGTTCAGTCGTCTCCCTGTCTCCCCGTTTCTATCTAGTCCTCTGAGAGGCTGTGTAGAGTGTCGTTCAGCCCCCAAAGTCACCAGAGACCAGCTTGGAACCCCAGGTATCGCCCTTGGGAGCACTTTTCAAAGCCCGGATTTCCTCGCTCCTGCCTCCCGCTTCCGAAATGACTGCCTCGCTAGCTCTTCACTAGCCTTGGCCTTGTCTGAAGGGAGACAGAGGAGCCAGGGACGATGGGTGATGGCCCCCAGGGGGTGTTGGAGCCAGGCTGTGCTTACTCATCCGGTGAAGAAGAGATCCTCTCTCCATCAATAGCTGATACGCAGGTCGGCTGGCTTCTCCATCAGCCAAAGCCAGCAGGTCAGAGCAGCCCTCCCTCCCCTCTCAGCCCCTCCCTTTAGAAGCTGCCTGCCCTTCCTATTGGCAACTATGCCTCCTTCTTCCTCCCGTCAGCCGGGTCACTCAGGATGTCCTCCGGGCTTTGATTTCTCTTTGCATTCAAGTCCAGTCTGACCTAAAGCCCTCCAAGCCCCAGGGAGGGTCACATTTTCTTCCTGGGGCTGTCTGTATACCTTCCAGGTGCCTGCGTGTGTCCGACTTAGGCTTGCTTATTGCATTTTGTCCCTATTTTCCAAACAGACGGAAGCCTCCACTGGGAGTGCACCACCTTACCTGGCCCCTGCCTACCGGCTTTCCAGGGGAGGGAGCTGCTTTCGCTTATGGGGGAGTGATGTGCCATGGACTCTTCTTTCTCTAATGGAGTCCCAGTGGCTGCACACGTGACCCGTGGTCGGGGGCCACAGGACGGCAGCAGGCTGCACCCGGCCCCCGCTACTCCCATCCCAACGCTGATGAGGGCGGCAGCCTGACTTGCCCCCTCCCTCCGTCTGTCCTAGAGCTGCCCTGCCTGCATCACTGGCAGAACTGCCTTGACCTGTGAGGGCTGGATGTGTTGATTGTTTTCAACCCAGGATACCCACCTGGTATATTAATTGCCTCAATTAGTGCTGGCTCCCCACAAGCCCAGTCTATGCAAGAAGATGTTCTAGCAACCAGGAGGGCAGTGGCGCCTCCACCCGCCATCCGCGCCCTGGACGTTGGGAAGCCGTGGGCATCTCAGCTGTCCCTTAAAGCTTTGGTGACCTGCACACCTTCAGTTAACGTGACAGACTGATTCATTCCACAGAGAAATGGGGCTCTTTCCTATGTCAGGGACTTGGCAGTTTTCTCTGCTTAGATGACGTTTGGAATAGGAGGTGTAGGTGTTGATCGAGAAGAAATGGATGCTATTAATTTTTCCTTTTCAGATTGAGGTTGGCCACAGAGTCTGCATCCCATTCCCCTGGGAAAACAGACCACAGCCTCCCCTGCTTAGAGCTGTGCAGCACTGAAAAACCCGAAACGTGGGCGCTCTACCCCCAGGGCTCCTGAGTGGGGTCAATCCGCTTGTTAGTGTTGGCCTGCTCCAGGGGCAGGTCCCTGAGCCCTCAGAAAGCCCCTCCCCCCATGTGTGCACGCGGCCGATGATGTGCTGGCTCCTGGTGGGAGCAGGCTTGCGGTCTTCCCCAGCTCACCTGTAAAGACTGAGGGAAGGCCCAGCGGGTGTGGCTCAGTGGCTGAGCTTCAACCTACGAACCAGGAGGTCACAGTTTAATTCCTGGTCAGGGCACATGCCCAGGTTGCGGGCTTGATCCCCAGTGTGGGGGGTGCAGGAGGCAGCCCATCAATGATTCTCTCTCATCATTGATGTTTCTCTCTCTCTTTCCTCTCTGAAATCAATTTAAAAAAATAAAAGACTGAGGGAAGGAGTGGAGGCATGACCAGGGCTGCAGGACATGGTGTGAACCTCCGATGGCTGGGCATCCCCACAGGTGGCTAAGTCATCCAGTGCAACAGCTGCTCCCGGGCAGACATTCTCTGGAGCCACCCTCATGGAGTCAGAGCAACGCGCCTATGGAGCACTTGCAATGGGGTGGGGGCAACAGAGGAACGACGTTTTATTTGTATTTAATTTCAAATAACTTAAATGTAAATAGCCACTATGGCTAATGGCAACTGTACTGGCTAGCAGGTATCTTATTTCACCAAAATCCTATGTGACCAAAGCCAGTTTTGTTTAGGTTTTCCAAATGCTGTTTGCTCTACGCTTATCTATAAACCCTCAATTTAAAAACAAAAATAATAATCGTTAATAAAAGTCACAGCTGGCACGTGCTGAGTAATCACTACATACCATGTGCTTTGCTAAGCAACTGACATGCTTGGTCTAACATATGTCACCTGTGATGTCCTGAGTTTACAGATGAGGAGCCTGAGTCACTGAGAGGTTCAGTTGCCTGTTTGAGCCGCCCAGCCAGTCCAGGCAGCGTGGGCCCCACATGTTACTCTGCGGCCTGTCAGTCAGCTCTCGGGGCACTTCTGGCTGGTGTTTTAAGAGACAGTCATGTCCTGGTTGTTGAAAGCAAGGCCGTGTGTGTGTGTGTGTGTGTGTGTGTGTGTGTGTGTGTGTGTAATTTTTTAAAATTGAATTTATTGGGGTGACATTGAAGTGTATGACTCAACAAAACATCATCTGCACGCTGCATCGTGCGCCCACTGCCCCAAGCAAAGCCTCTTTCAGTCCCCACTTCCCCCCTTTGCCTTCCTCCACCTCCATCTCACCTCCTTTACCTCGGGCTATCACACTGTTGTCTATGTCTGTGTGTTATGTATCTACGTTTTTGTTTTTGCTCAGTTCCTTCCCTTCTTTCTTCCAGTCCCCCAAGCCTCTCCGCTCTGACAGCTGCCAGTCTGCTCCCTGTATCCATAAGGCAGTGTCTCGAGGTCATTAACAAGCTGGGTCTGAACAATGGCCACTCCCACTCCATGCTTTGCAGGGTTTGGATCTGGATCCTGGCTGGAATGAAGGCGGCACCCATGAAGGCAGGGCTGAGCCTGCAGAGCCCAGCCTGGGTCTGCTCACCTGCCTTCAAGTGGAGGTTGGGGGACCTTTCCCGCCCCAGGTCTGCAAGTCTGTCTCTGTTCTCCACCAAGCCCGGGCGAGGGAAAGACGGCTTGCCTGGAAGCAGACTAAGAATGAGGAGAGGCTCTGGATGATGTTCTTTTTTCTGGTGGGGATTCATCCTGCTCTTTGTGAGGCAAATGGGGGCTCATACCTCAACCCCGTGCGAGCCTGCACTCACTGAAGGGGGATGGAGCTTGGCCAGACATCTGCACATTGATCGCTGCCCCATGCCTTCCAGCGGAGCCTGGGTGTCTGCTGGCCTCTCTGCGCTGGTAGATTCCAGCTTTAATCCACGTCCTGTCAGCACCTGGAGACGTTGGGAACTGGGCCCTGTGTTGTAACATTGCCCCTGATTGGCTTCTTCACAGCCTGTCTCCTGGACTTGAGAATTTGGGGGACATGATAGTTGTAGGGTTCACTTCTTCGTCCCTTCTTACTTATTGGGATTTTGGTCCCTGAAGTCTCCATTTCTGTCCTTTCAGATGCTAAAGGTCACTAATTCCCTTGCACGTTTTTCTGCATCTTGGTAGCAGCTCACTGCCTGGACCCTTTGTCAGGATTCTCCATAACCAGAATTAGGGTAACATCAGGGATCCAGGGAACGTCGGCTCCCTTCTCTGCACCGTGGTCCCTCCTTTGCGATTTCTTCCCTCCAGCTTTATCTCAGCTCTCCATGCAACCTTCAGTAGGTCTCATCCACCCATCCATCCAGATCCTCTTCTTGTTCTCAGAAAGAGTACTCCTTGGCCCCAGTCACTCTGTCCTACCAGATGAGCTGGATAGTTACAGATGGGCTCCAACAGAAAGGCCTCTTCCATGGAGAAGGCAGCCATGTCTATGGGGGAAAGTGAAGTCGGTCTGTCAAAGGCTAGCAAAATAACCACAATGGCAAACCCAAACCCAAACCTTGGGCCAACACGAAACTGAGAGCCTGCTGTTCCCGCACCTTCTGGTGCCCAGGCAGCCTCTCCCTGAGAGCATAGTTAGTCCTGAGCATCCGGCTCTTGGCCTGAGCTTAGTGGGACATGTGATCTTCCTGGCAACCTGCAAGAGCCAATGTCACGGGTCAGCAGAGGCACCTGTGATGGGCTTTGAGGCGGTGCACACCGCGAGCCCATCATGGCTGGGGAGTCCAGGCTCCATCATATACTCTACCTGTGATCACAGCACCTTTGGGGGGTTATCAGCGTGGGGGTGAGGAGTTCTGTTGTGGCCGGAGGGGAGTTTTCTTGGGCCTGGCTTAGTTGGTGGCACCCCATAGTGAGGACACAGCACTAAGGAGGGGAAAGCCCACGCCGCACTGACCCCCCTTTGCTTTTCCCCAGCCTGCACGGACAAGGAGTTGAGGAACCTCGCTTCCCGGCTGAAAGACTGGTTCGGAGCCCTTCATGAGGATGCCAACAGGGTCATCAAGCCCACCAGCTCCGACGCGGCCCAAGGCAGTAAGACCACATCCTCTGGCTAATTTATTTCATTTCAAACACCACATTTCTTCAGCAGACATTGTTGAATTAGCAATAATAGCATTTTGGGGTGAACAAAGATACTCTACATTAAATATTCATGCTGACTTAAAATATGTCCCAATTTCAGAAATATTAAAATATAGTGGAGGGAAAAATGCCTTAGGATCTAGATAATACAACGGTCATACGTATTTTGGATCCATAGTTGGGAATCTGCATTTCCAGAGTAACTTAAGTGTGGTTGCAAAATTATCATACATTTAGTATACACATTTGGGGAAACAGATAAAATATACATAAAAATGCAAAAAAAATCTATAAACCCATTATTTTAACCACTGTTAGGCATGTTGTGGTATATACATTTTCCTTGTCACATAGGAAAAAATGTGTGTGTATATATATCACACTCTGCAGCCTGTTGTATGACCTTTTATCATTTAGCAACATACTGTGGCTACCTTTCTATGTTGCTGAGTAGGATTCTGCTTGTAATAGCTACAGAGAATCCCAATTTATGGATGTAACATAATTGATGTCGACTTTTATTCTGGAGCCCTGAAGTTGTTCTAATGTTCAGCTCTTTTAAACAACATTGTAGCAAACACCTTTGATCATCTGTCTCAGTGGACAGAGACTGCATTCCGTTCCCACAGACACTCCCAGGCAGGGGCTCCTCAGCCCATTACCAAACTGCAGGGCCTCCTCATAGACTGAAGGGAACACTCAGAACTGGTCCTCACATTTGTACTTCGTCAGAGTCTCTCGATGATGCCTTCTCCACACGTGGCCGGCAGCACAGAGGGGGTTAGTCAACAATGCAGTTAGTCCAGGACAAGGAGCTTTGTAACTGTTGGGATCCAGTTAACCAGCATCAGGTCTTCAGCCAAAAGGAGAATGGTCCCCTTAATTCTTGGTTATTCTCTGCTGCTCAGAGCCGTAGATACTGGTAGGGAACATTGGTGTGGGGGACACTTCTTCCACTAATTTGGATCTTCCGTGGTAAAGGAAGGAGAGTGTTTGCTTCCTGGAATCTAAGTGTCCACAGAGAGGTGGTGTCTGGCGAAGGGGAAGTAGGTGTGTTTTTATTCCCGCTGGGGGCTTCCTTGGGTGTGTGGACAGGTAATCTGGTCTGGAGCAGCTTTCCCCTGGGACCCTCCCAGAGCACTTTGCTGTGCGGAGAGCTGCTCCTGGCCACTGCCGTCCCGGGGATCCTCTGCAGACACCGGGAGCCCGGGCAAGAGCCGCCCTGGCTGGAAGCTAATCGAGTCCTGAAGGGGCCTCTGGTTTGATGGCCCAGAGCAGCTGGAGTGAGGGGAGCAGAGGGGAGTGTGGCATGGAGGCCGAAGAAGCAGAGACCGAAGCCAGGGAACCCCAGACGTCCCACGTGCTTGGGCCCAGTTAGAAGGGCTGCTCTGTCCCCTCACCCCACCCCTAGATATCAGATGCAGGCACTTCTTTTCCAGAACCTTCCAACTAGGTGGGAAGTGGGCTTGGCCCTTCTGGGCACTTCTTTTTGGTGGGCAGTCAGCAGTAAACTCCTCTTTCCCAGGTACTAAATCTTAATATCCTATGAGATTGATGCATAAAGTATTGTAGACAGCAAGTGTGGAGCCACTCAGCATTGGGGTAAATTCTCTTCCTGACTTGGCGGCCCCGGGGGCAACCATCAGCCAAATGAGAGGCCACACGGTGTCCCCCAGTTTCTGTCCTTGAAAAGATGTGCTCAGATGTGTCCTAAGACAGCAGAAGGAATACATATAAAAATGGAAAGGTTTTTGTGTTTTTGGCGGTAAGCTTTGCAGTAGCTAGAAAACTTCTCTCAACAGTTTTATTGAGCACTTACTATGCGCCTGTCCCAGCTCAGGCTCGGAGCAATGGGGGAAGCACTGGTTCTAGCAGAGTGCGGGGGGTGGGGGGAGTCCTGTGTCCTGTACCCATTCACTGGCTCCTGGAAGTGGAGACCCTTTGGTATAAACAGTGCTTTAAAAAGGTGGGCGTATTCTGCTCTTACATCCTACTGACTAAGCAGGGTTCCTGGCCTGTACATAGAAGCCCAGTGACCAGGATGCGGGTAGGCTTATCAACCTCATCAGTCCCCTTCGCTAACGCCACTGTGTTCCTCCACCGCCTTGCACTGCCCATCCCCCAACAGGGTGCCTCGCCACTGGATGTCCTCTGGACAGAAGGGCCATGCATCCCGCCGGGCAGAGGCAGCCCCGGGAGAGGATGGACTGAGACTGTGGACTCAGGGCAGGGCCGCCTGGGCTTGAATCCCAGCCCCACAGTTGTATGACCTTGAGCTTTTATTTTTCCATCTGTCAGTGGAGAGGATTCAGCATCATTTCATAGAACCAGTACAGGGCTCCTTAAGTAAGACAAAAGTGAACCTTTGTCATCCGTTTTCTGGGAAGATAAAGCCAGTCCTGGAAATCCAGCTTGTGGTATAACGTGAAGTCACGAGTGCTTTTGGTCTGAAAGGAAGTTAGGTTTGGGGCATGCCCTCTCTGGGGCTTGGCTACGGCAGACTCCGTGTCCCAAATGGTGAGCAAAGGGTTTTTATGTGGGTGCTTGCAGTTTCCATTGTGGCAACAAGTATTTCTTTAAGAAAATGAACCCTCCTCCGCCAGGGAAAGAAGAAACTATTGTCAGAGTCAGTTTGGGTTCCATCTCATGTACCTCTTGAGGGGAGAGCGGAGGAACCGAGGTGGCCCTGGTGCCGTTCCCGTGCACGTGAGGCCGCTTCGGAAGGTCAGCAGTGCGGGACTGTGCCATCTTACTGCCGTCCTTTCACAATAGTTTCCCTAAGTCTCCAAGCGTAGTTTGCAGTACTGTTATTAGTTCTCTCACTCACCCTGTGTGTGCTCTTCTTTCAGGCATACCCCGGTTTAAGTAAGTCTTGTAAATGAAAACCCATACTTACAGCACAGATAAGTGAGCATTGGAGATTTGTGCCCCTTAAACATATTTTCCTTAGATGCTAACTTCTGGTTCTGTGCATTTTAAATTGTTTCACTTAAGCCCCCCCGAGCCCCCCACCACCATATTCCAGCAGAGTGCCACTGAGACCGCCCCCTGGGGGGGCGCAGCCTCAGGAAGGAGGGGGTCAGGACTGGTGCTGGGCTCCTCCCGGGGCAGGACATCCAGGCTGTGGCAGTGACGCGCCTTCCCTCCGCAGGGTTTGACACCAGCATCCTGCCCATCTGCAAGGACTCCCTGGGCTGGATGTTCAACAAGTTGGACATGAACTATGACCTCCTGCTCGACCACTCAGAGATCAATGCCATCTACCTGGACAAGTACGAGCCCTGTATCAAGCCTCTCTTCAACTCTTGTGACTCCTTCAAGGACGGCAAGCTCTCCAACAACGAGTGGTGCTACTGCTTCCAGAAGCCTGGAGGTAAGGCAGGAGGGAGGCTGGCCGAGCCCAGGGCAGCCATGCGAGCAGGACTACACTGGGGAGGCAGAGATTAGCAGGAAGGACTTGGCTAGAGAACAAAGCCTCCAGCCCATTAAAGGCTCTTTTCTCTCATTTTCTTTCTATTTTTATCATGGTATTTTAGAAAACCCTAGAGCATAATCAAGGAGTCTGTTATTTTGAATTTTCCTCTTAATTATATTGTGCCTCAGCCTTTTCATCTGTAAAATGGGTATGGAAACCTTTGTGACATAATTCCTAAGATCACTGTGGGAAATTCCCATTGTCACATGAATTCCTATGTTCCCCTTAGAAAAAACCACGTGTCAGCTTCTGGGATAGTAGGATTTATACTGAGTATCTTAGACAAGGATATTGTGGTTATAAATAAACTCTGGCTAACTGAAGAAATAAAGAAGGCAAGCTTTGAGGAATACGTGGACAGAACACAGGGGTATCTCATGTAACACGTCAGGAGAGCGAGCCTGCACTTGTGCAGATGAGGGACCAGAAGGCAGCTCAGGGATCCAGCAGGAGCTGTGAGACTCCCTGAGTGGTCTCAGGTCTGGCTTTATTTCTCTCTGTCTTAGCTTCCTGGGCGGGCGGGGGGCGGGGGGGGGACAGCGTGGGGTGCTGCCCAGGCCTGGTGGTCCACAGCTCACAGAACTAGCAGAAACTCGCTTCCAATCCCAAGCCCAGAGAAGTCTGGCCCAGCTTAGTTCAGGTCTCCAGGATAACAGGATAACATACTATACGCATGGCTGTCCGAACCGACCCTGGGAAAGGAAGGGTATGATCATTGAGGCATTTAAATTGTATATGTGTTGCCCTGGCCAGTATGGCTCAGTTGGTTGTGTGTTGTCCGGAGCACAGAGGGAATGCCGCTTTGATTCCCAGTCACAGCACATGCTGGGGCTGCGGGCTCCATGAGTGGTGGGAAATCAATGGAAATATTTTTTTTAATTGTGTATGTTTGTGTGAATGCACAAACAGTACACATACAGCAGAAACTATAGGTAGGCACCACAGAAGAGCACTCAGTGAGAAGTACATACGTATGTTTATAGAATTATATGATACATTCCTAAAAAACAGAATTACTGGTCAAAAGGACATGCACATTTTTAAGTTTGAGCAGTTTCAATTTGCTCTCCAAAGAGGGCAATTTTTACTCTCATGAAAAACTATACAAGAATACCTCTTGGCCCATGTTCTTGTCAAACCATGTGATCATCCTAGACTCCATTTCATCTCCCTTGTTATGACTTAAGTTGAACCTCTTTATGATTGTTTGAGACACTCTTCCGTTTCCTTGAAATGCCTAGTATTTTTCTATTGGGTTCTTGTGGGTGTTTGTTTTTAATAGGAATGATTCCTAAGGATATTAGGACTGTTGTAGTCATACGTATTGCAAATGGTTTTTCCCAACTTCAGCTGTATTTTAGCTAGGGGTAAATGTTACATTTTAAGATAGGTTTCTCCATCTTTTATTTATGGCCTCTTAGCAGCCATAAAGCTTACATTATTAAACTTAGGAAGTCATTTCCCACTTTAAGATAGTAAAGCCATTCTCTTGTGCGTTTTCTTCACTACCTTTGGGATTCTTTGTGTGTGTGTGTTTGTTGAAATCTAGTATCACTTTAGACTTTTTGGTGGACAGTCAAGTGGGGTCCCAGCCCCCATCCCTCCCACCCCTGTCAGAAAACAGGTGTCCAGTGGCTCTACCGACATTTATTGACTAACCCATCTTTCTCTTCCGATTTGAAATGCTTCCTAGCATAGAAAACTCCGATGTGTATATCTATCTGTTCTGTCCTATTAACTGAACTATACGTTAGTTAGTTCTCAACTTTAAATTACATTGGTTTTACAGTGCGTTTTAATATCCAGTGGGGCCAACCTCCGCTGTCATTGATCCTTTTTCAGAATTTTTCAGGATATTCGCATATATTTGGAGCTTTAGAATCAGTTTATTCAATAAGAAAGTTCTTACTGGTTTCTTTTTAGAATCAGGCACATTATATTAATGTAGGGAGAACTGAGAGCTCTAGAACTGAATCATTCTGCCCAAGAACAGGATCTATGGACCAGGGCGGTTACCAGTCTGTTCTCACAAACATTCTACTTCCTTGTGTTTGTTATTTCTCATTATATTGCCTCGCCGGTGGTTGTTTCAATATTAATTTGTTCTCAGCCACCTTACTAAATTCTCATTTTGTGTAAGTGGTTTTTCTGGTTGGTTTCCTTGGATGTTTCAGCTGTGCAGTCATACCATCTGCAAATAGTGCTGATTTTCTGTCTTCCTTCTCAATTTCCATACCTCATTTCTTTCTCTTTTCTAATCACATCTGCTGTACTTCCAAATTGATGTTAAATAATAGCCATGTTTTCTACTTCAATAGAAATGCTTGCAGCGGTTCAGCATGAAGCTTAGATTTGGGCCTGAGTTCCTACCAAGTCATGCGGCCTGAGCCAGGGTTCAGGTTTAGCCTGGTGAGCGCAGCCTCCCTGCTAACGCTTCCCCTGGACCTGTAGTGTCAGGGCGGGGCCGCAGCAGGCAGGCTCCCCTCTCAGCAGGACCCACACCTGCGGCAGGGTGAGTTGACAAGGTGATTTGCAGGAGTTCTTTTTTGTATGGTTCTCCCTTTTTCTTAAGTTACTTTGTTTTTTGTTAGGTCCCCACCATCTCTGTCCCTGACCCAGAACCAGTTCCGGGGTTTTCATTTTCCTTCCACATTTCATTATTATGTACTTGAGGCTAAATTTTTTTTCCAAAGTTTTTCCTGGTCTGTAGACCTTCCATATCAATGTCTGGTGTTTCCATTATGGCTAATTTGTAGATAATTCTACAATGAAGGATCTCAGTGCCTCTTTGGCCCAAGACAATTGTTAGAGCCACTTTTAAACTGTCATGTGGTAGGATTATTTGTTCACTGGTTTTGATTTTATTCTCTTTAGTTTTATTACTGAGTTTGAGTTTTAGACTTTTTCCCCAAAACAATTCTCATGGGGAATGTATTCTTTGAATTAGTACATGTGAAAATATGTTTGTTTTTTATACAAAAACAAAGATGCTAAGCATAAACTTCCTGGAGTTACAGTTTCTTTTCTTGATACCTTGTTAAAACATTCTCCTAGCACTGGGTATAAGTACAGAACAATGGGAACCCATACCAGTTGTTCTCCCTTTTGCGGGTGGTAGAACCATTTTGCCCGGAAGCCAAAGGATTCTTTCCCTTGAAAGGCCCGGGTTTCCTAGGACATGTCTCAGTTTCTCTTGGTCCACATCACTCGCCTGAGCGACGCTGTGTTCCGCTGGATTACCCTCTTCTCGGGAGGACTGGTTGCAGGTGGATGCTGCGCATCAACCCTGGAGCTTCAGACAGAACCTTTGTTTCTCTCATTGCTCGTTGTCCTCTTTCTCTGTCACTTTCATCCTTGACCCTTTGTATCTGTGCATTAAACCCTAGCCTTACAGTCTCCTTTCCGTGAGAACCCCTGACCACAGAGGGAGATCTGTGTTTTGACTTTCACTGGCTCAGCAGCAAACCTGTTCTGTGGCAACTCTTCACCTGGAGTTTGTTCTTTCCTGTTTCCTGCAGCAATGTTTAGCAGGTCTCAGTCCGATTTATTTTTCCTTACCTTTCAGTAAGTAGAATTTTTAAAATCACTGCCGCACAATTTGAGGGAGAAGCCTTACAGTATGAATCCTGTTTCAAGGACACTGTCTGAGATGGTGGATCTTCCTGCTCCTCTCCAGGGCAGTCTTCCAGGGCCCACGGCTGCTGCTCCGTCCTGCTCGTCACAGAGAGGAGCAGTCTATTTGCTGAGCGCCTTACATGGTTGTTGTAAAGATTAAACTAATGAAGATGCAAAGTTCTAGGACATTGTCTGGTACATTCTAAGAATTCAGTAAATGTTCATTATTTATCACAGTAAACACCAATTTTAATAATCACAGATGGAATTTGTTTTCCCTTTTCTTTGTTGTTTTCTGTTGGTATCTTAAACCCAGAAGTAAACACAATGTATTTTAGAGCCAGTTTCTCTTGGGGAACAACCAGAGGCCTGGTGGTGCTGTGGGACCTGCAGGGAGATAGATGGGACCAGGTGCTGTCCAGGCCCCACACCTGCACTAGAGGTAGTCCAGGTCCCTGGGGAGTAGAGCACCTCTGTCTGTGCCCAGAGGACCATGAGGACCTGCACAGCCTCCCAGAGGCACAGGACCTGCACAGGTGAGTCCTGGGAAGTCTTAAGAACTAGGGAGGTCACCTTTCTTTGGGCTTGAATGGAAGAAAGTTCTCCAGGGAGTAAAAGAGTACGACACCCTTTTATATGCCCTGCTTAGCCATGTAGCTCCCTCATCGAGAACTGACGGTTCTGTGCTTGCTCATAACAGCCTATCCATACTAATAAAAGAGTAATATGCTAATTAGACCGGATGTCCCTCTGGACAAAGCCACAGTGGCGGGGGCCAAGGCAGAGGTGGTTAGGAGGATCAGGCTGGCAAGGCAGAGGTGGTTAGGAGGATCAGGCTGGCAGGGGAGAGCAGTTAGGGGCAACCAGGCAGGCAGAGTGGTTAGGGGTGATCAGGCAGGCAGGCAGGTGAGTGGTTAGGAGCCAGCGGTCCTGGATTGTGAGAGGGATGTCCGATTGCCAGTTTAGGACCGACCCAACTCGGGCCTAAACCAGCAGTCAGACATCCCCCAAGGGGTCCAAGATTGGAGAGGGTGCAGGCCAGGCTGAGGGGACCCCCCCCAACACATACACACCCACACACACACACATGAATTTCATGCACTGGGCCTCTAGTGTTTTATAATTGAGGCTCAGAGACTGAGACACGTGCCCAAAGCACTCAGCTGAAAGTTACGCTCACTGTCTCTCTGGATGGCTTGTGCATCCTCCTAACTGTCCTGCAAGGCCTGCTGTACTCTCCTGGGTAGTAAGCCATGAGGTCCAGTCTCCCCCGCTTCCTCTCCACAGCACGACCCAGTATCGGTGCAGTGTCTGTCCCCTTCCCTCTGGTTAGCTGGTCTGTGGATTCTGAACACATGCCCACTAGGAAGCGTCGGTCCTCAGCTCATTATTGACTTCCCTATGGAAAGTCTGTTAGCAAATCACCTCTTAGACCCCTGGCATTTGCTTGAGATGGTGGTGGGAAGAAAATTTCTGGTCAAGGAGCCCCCAAGTACTATTTTAAGTACCTTGTGGTATGAGTTTTGTATTTTTAATTAGTAACACTCTGGCCTGGATTTGTTTTGCTGCGTAGTAACAGCAGGTGCAGTAACCCACTCCCAGGTGTGCCGCTGTCTGTGTTTCCTGTCAGGAGGGAGGCCAGTCGCTAGGGATGATCCCTGACTTACATACGCTCCGTTGCAGGTCTCCCTTGCCAGAATGAAGTGAGCAGGATTCAGAAGCTGAGCAAGGGGAAAAGCCTGCTGGGTAAGTACAGTTTCTTGCCACTCATTTCAACAACCAATTAGAGCAACATGTCTCTTGCAGTGATACTGAGCACAGCAATGGTTATTCAGTTAGGGGCCCGCGTTTCATGAAGGAAATGCCTCACTTTACCCCGTACAGGTCTCTCCCAGGCAGCTGGTACTCGGCCACCATCAGCTGGGCCCAGCATGAGGGCCGGTGAGTCGGCTGAGAACTAGCGAGAGGAGAGGCCAGGCTGGTGGGCAAGCCTGCCAGGGCTGGAGTCTCTCCCCTCGCCTTGGGCTCCAGGGAATCTCTGCTTTTTCTTCTTTCAAGCACAGCCCTTGAAGGGAGCTCTCAAGTGTTCCTTCCAGCTCTAAAACGATAGAACTTCCTGTATTCCCCAGATCAAGCTTCCCATTCAAGGAGATGAGCCATCCCCCCTCCTAGGACTATCAGATAGGACTCAAGGACGTGCATGTACGTGAGCATATTTTTTCCCACGCTCACGTGATCCCTGGAAAAGAAGTGTAAGGTGTCTGGTCTGGACACCACACATTGCTTCTCTTTTCTTTGTCCGAATGATAAGGTGGAAGCAGGTGGGTTATGTGATTTCCCAGATGTGCAGGTCTGGCCAAGGCAGGCCAAGGCAGCCCGCGCTCCCTCTAGCTCCACAGCAGCCCTGAAAGGGTGGGTACACCTCATTGTTTGTTGGAAAACAGGAGTAAGCATTGCTTTCCTTTTTTTAAAAAAGCAACTGACCAGCTGCAGCAATAACTCAGGATTATTCTTATTAAGCATTCAGGGGCAGCGTGTTCCCTAAGCAGCTTGCCATTTCAGAGGTTTATTTACCTGATGGAAATGGGCAGGTTTTTCATAGATTGTTGATGAGGCTCTCTGTGAACTCTGGCTGTTTCTCCTCTTGATACCTCAGAGTACACACGCCTCCCTCCCACTTTTGAAAATTACTTATTTCACTGCTTGCCTCAAACTCTGCACACCTGACTCTCCAGAGTTGGGAATTTGACCTGTCTGGTCCTAGGTTCTTCTCCCATGTAAGCACAGGAGGGCCTCTTTCTGACCCGAAGGCCAAGTGGAGAAACCCCTTCCCCCCACAGGCCTTCCCGTGGGACCTGTGCTTACTGACCCGATTCCTCCACGAGGCAGGTCACTTGGGGCTGAGGGATGTGCCCAACACCCACAGGTAGTTATAGAGCTAGAATAATGCTGTTTTTAAAGTAGGTGTTTCCATTGGGTGTGGATATCTCTTTACTGCTTCATTAATTCATAATGCATCAGACATAAGACGTGGTCTGAGATAACATGTGGCATCTTCCACTCTCCTAGCTCACATACTTGAAATGCCTACTTCTCTCTGGACATGAGTCCACCTAGTTTCAAAGCTTACTTTCTATCACATCTCCCCAGGCATGGAGATTACTCTGGCTGACTCATAAAAATACCACTTATCTGCTTACAATTTATTTTTCACATGATGAAATCTTCTAATATAATACATTGTATTCAGGGGCATTTCAATTTCAAAAAATAGACAAAACAAGCAACAACAAATTCTAATCCATTATAATCACTGCCATTATAATCCATTATAATTACTTAAAAGAGGGGTCATCCTGTCACACTGTAGGTGTAGAGCAGCATCTGCCTCCTGCCCACCCGGGGCTCAGCCCAGTGTTGTTTTGTTGGTTTATTAGGCACCTGTTTTCCAACTGCAGCTCGAAGAGCAACCATGTTTCTCCAGCTCTCTGCTTATCCTCCTTTGCAGGTCCTATTTGAGCAACTGTGCATGAATCTCTCTGCATTTTGGTAACTGAAAGCATCTATTTTTTCTTCCTCCTGCTCCCTGAAGACTTGGGGTGCTGAGAGAGTCCCTCAGTTGGAGTGTGGGCACCACCTCTCTGACTGCAGCATCAGCAGGCTTGCCTATCACGTAGGGATGGTTTTCTGGGGGCCCTTGCCCATCCCTGATGCTGAGGAGCCAGCTGCACTGAGTGTTTACAGTAGTCCCTCCAGTCAGCTGGATCTGGGCTCAAACCCAGGTTCAAGTAGTAAGAATCTCTCCCTCCCTTGCCACACTTCTTTGTGGGGCCTATGTCATCAAGTACAAGGTAAATTTAAAAAGGTACTTAGTCTAAAAAAATCAGAAATAAAACTAGGGAGTAGGAAACCACAATAGCGAGCAGAAGCCTGTCTTCACAGGGTTGACGCAGCCAGTCCACTCATTCAGGAGAACCCCCCATAGGAGAAGAGCACAGTCATCAGACAGGCACCCTAAGAAAAACCAAAACTAAACTATCATACAGATTATCTGCAGTTAAATAAACATCAGCTTAGCAACGCTGACTGAAGAAATCACATCTCCAAGTGCTGAGAGGAAACCGCTTGGAACCTGGAATGCCAGCTTACCCACGAGCATGCTCAAGCGTGATGACAGCGACGTGCCCAACCCCAGGCGTACTGAATCTCACTCGGCTGATCAGCTCTGCAGAAGAGAAATAATCCCAGAGGAATTAACTGTGAGAAAAGACATGCAGCTAAACCTACATAAATATGCTATAAAATGTTTTGATAGCAAGCTGAACTTAAGATTTCAGAGTGTTGGTGGCAGTGAGAAAAAGTGGTAAAAATGTTAAATCTCTGATTTGCTCACGAAGAAAACAAAACATAGATGAACTTTAGATCTTACAAGTAAAAATACGCTTCTCTGGGAAATTTAAGGCTAACAAGATAAACCTATAGAAGAAAATCATGGAATACATAAAATGTAATAATTTCAACACAAAGCACAAAAGGGGGAAATAAAAAATAGAAAACACAAAATAGAGTGGTAGAAATAAGAGAAAGCCTATCTGTAATAATAATAATAAATATGAATGGATCTAACTCAGAGACTATTGATTTGCATTTTTGAAAAGAGAGCTACATATAAAACACAGAAACTTGAAATTAAGATAGTAAAGACTCATTGTTATAGCATTGTTAAAATCTGACAGAAACAACCACTTTGTTTGGAATTCTAAAAGTAAAGACAGTATCATCTTGCTGAAATGTGCCTTTAAATATTTGACATCATCAATTGGTATACCCATGACTAAAACAAAATTGCAAGGAGGAATTGTCATATTTATAAATAGAAACTTTAAATATAGCTCTCTCCTTAAAACTTACAGTTCAGGTAGGCAGAGAGAAGAATTGAATAGCATGATTAATTAGCATCCATATACATGTATTCCTTTACATCAGCATATAAATTAGTCTTTTCAAACACACATGAAATACTTGCCACAGATCATGCCAAAAAAGAAAACTCAACCAATCTCAAAAACCATCACAGACCAAATTCACTTGCCACAACCCAATAAAAGTAGAAGTCAAAAATTAGTTTGTTAAAGCCCCATACATCTGGGTTTTAAAAATAAGTAATTACTCAAATGTGAAATACAGTATAAACTACAAAACATTTAGAACTGACTGAAAAGGAAGGCACTGTGTACCAAAATTGGAGGGAGGTAACCACAGTGAAACTTAAGAGGCATATTCATACCTTCAAATGCATTTATAAAAAACACAACTAACAAAACTTACAAAACAGGAAGCTTTAGGAACACCACCACAAGCTGAAATGATTACAACTAAAGCAGAAAACAATGACGTAGACCAACGTTGCCAATATGAAAGGCTCAAATGCTACTGTGAATTTAGAAATGGGGTGTAACCTCAGATATAGAATACTGTAAACACAGTGGATCTGGGGTTGGGCCCAGGAATCTCTTTTCTGAGACATTTCCAGGTGATGTTGCGGCAGCCAGTCCTATGTGAACACTTCGAGAGCCACTGCTATCAACCAATTCATAACAATGATGAAAACCTACTTGAAATAGACATTATATGATGACCATATCTGAGACAAAAAGAACCAGGAGACCCAACTGGATTAAGAAAACCATGAAATTAATTTAAATCAGAATGCTACTCATCACCCCAATATGCACCAGGCCCAAAATATTTTTATGAAAGAGGTCATTCTCATTTTACATAAAATGTCTAGAGTATGAAAAAAGAGAAAAATACCCTAATTTTATGAATTCATTAGTTTGATACAGAAATAGCAGAAACAAAATTAAATGCCTCTATCACACACTAACAACAAATTATCTGAAACAGTAGTAAAGTTATCCCATTTACAGTAACATAAATAACAATAAAATACTTAAGAATAAATTTAACCAAGGAGGTGAAAGAGCTCTATTCTGAAATCCATGAGATATTAATGAAAGAAAACAAAGGCATGGTAAAATCAAAAGGTATCTTGTGCTCTTTTTAATTATTAATTAGAAGAACTAATAATACTACCCAACACCATCTACCTATAGATTCAGTGCAGTCCCTATCAAGATTCCATTGGCATTTTTTACAGTTGAAAAAAAACAAAACAATCCTAACATTTGTATAGAACCACAAAAAAAAAAACCCAACAGCCAAAGCAATCCTGAAAAAAAAGAGCAAAGCAGCAAGCATCACACTTCTGATTTCAAGTTATATTGTAAAGCTGTAGTAATCAAAACCAGGTGGCATAAAAACACACACATAGACCAATGGAACAGAACAGAATCAAGAGCCCAAAAATAAACCTGGAGCAAGTCCTAGGGCCCTGTAATCTTGACTAAGTAATAACCAACCACCCGGTTCTCTCGTGCTAGCCCTGGAGCAAGTACCGCGCCTGCCTCGAGAGCCCTCTCCTGAGTCTCAGCCGGCAGTACCCCTGAGTATCTCTCCTTCTCTGATCCCCCCAGGAGCATTCATACCCCACTGTAATGAGGAGGGCTACTACAGAGCCACGCAGTGCCACGGCAGCACGGGCCAGTGCTGGTGTGTAGACAAGTACGGGAATGAGCTGGCTGGCTCCAGGAAGCAGGGCGCTGTGAGCTGCGGTGAGTATCAGCCCGCAGTGATCTCTGGTACCCATGGGTCCTTGCTGTGTTAGGATCTGAGTAGAAACATTTCTGAGTAGAAACATTTCAACAGGCGGCTGGTCTACAGTGAGTGGCATTACCCGTGAAGTTAGTCTTGGGTGGGAAATGTACAAGCTTGATGTAGCCAACCCCTTAGGCCCAAAAGACATGAGTATAGCCGGGACCTGGACTCAGGGAGACAGAACAACCCTGAAATTGCACGAGACTGTACATAGCTTGTTGTTTGAGTGGCCGGTACTCACTGTGGCCACTGGACTGGAGAACAGTTTTTATATATATATATATTTTTTAATGATTTTTTACAGAGAGGAAAGGAGAGGGATAGAGAGTTAGAAACATCGATGAGAGAGAAATATTGATCAGCTGCCTCCTGCACACCCCCTACTGGGGATGTGCCCGCAACCAAGGTACATGCCCTTGACCGGAATCGAACCTGGGACCTTTTAGTCCAAAGGCCGATGCTCTATCCACTGAGCGAAACCAGTTACGACCGGAGAACAGTTTTTGACAGTCAGGACCCGTTGCCGGCCAAGAACAACATAGGTTGCCTTCACTTCTCAATCAGGATTATGAACCTCCCGAGAAGGTAGCAGCATCTCGGGCATTCCGGGCTCCCACAGAACACAGCTGGGGTCTGTGCTGTGTGGATCAGCCCCAGCTGGGCAGGGATGCTCCACGTCGGAAAGGGAAGTGCCTGGGTCAGCCCTACAGTGAAGGCAGGTGCAGGGAGCCCCTGGCATGGCCATGTGTTCAGCAGAAACTCACCTCGGCCTCTCCTCCTTCCGCATGAGCAGAAGAGGAGCAGGAGACCTCGGGAGACTTCGGCAGCGGCGGCTCCGTGGTCCTGCTGGACGACCTGGAGGACGCGCGGGAGCTGGGGCCGAAGGACAAGCTGGGGAGGCTGCGGGCGCACACCCGGGCGACAGAGGACGACGAGGACGAGGACGACGACAAGGAGGACGAGGTCGGCTACATATGGTAGTGCCCACGGGGAAGAGGACACGGCCGGCACAGACTGCAAGTCACTTCCTGTTCCTGCATTTGTATCTAAGACTCCGCGGCACCAAGGTCTCTCCTCCCTGCTCTCCAGCCGACCTCCGATCCGGACGACTCCTGTTCCCAGAGCTTTCTGATTGCGCACACGGCTGTGTGGGAAGGAAGGTGTTGTTTTGTGTTTAGACGGGACTGGCTGCTGACTGAGCGCCTCCTTCCCTCCCAT